CAATGTGGGAGTAGGATTAGATAAAATAATCACCCCCGCCTTAAATTTTCACACAGAATATGAACTGAACCAGATCTTCTCTGAGGTTCAAAAAAGCTTAGTTAACGTCTTGTGAGTCATTATTTTTTAATTCCTGTCTGCCTCTGAATTTCCTAGTAGAAGCATGGGAGGGGGCCCAACCCGACTCCTGTTGACTACTTCAGCAGGTGTTGCATTGGGCTCTAGAACGGGAAGGTAGAAGATTCTTAAAAAGCCGTGAGGTTGCAAGTGAGTCAACACCAGAGACCAAAGCCGCACTTTCTAATGCTGCTATTTTGTTCTCTTCCCTTTTGGGTGTGTTTCTCTTGTTTTGTCCTCTCGGCAATGGGATTGGACTTTAACAACAACAGTAATAACAACAGCTTTGGCCCATCTCAACTAACTTCTCTCCCTCCCCCCACAAAAAGGAACAATTATTACCATCTTTGACACCATCTAAAAACTGTCAAATGGGGGAGGGGGGGAGCGGAATGTTCCTTCTAAAAGCGCTCTCCAGCAAAAGGGACAGGGAATACCGCATGCTGTTCAGATAAAAGTCTTAATACTTTACATTTTAAATGCCATCATTGTTTTTTCCTTCTTTTTTCTATAGCTTTAATAGAAGGTTAAAAGGCTGTCTGATGGTGGGTTTGCCATGGATATAAACAACCTGAGATCTCTGTATACCAAACCCCGAACCTTGCTGAACACTGTTTACTGTTGGACAGTTTCAGGGTCAAGTTAACGCTTTGACTCTTAGGGCCCATATATCCCATCTGAATTAATACAGCAGGGGTCAGGCAAGCTTGTGCAACCACAGACATGGGGTCCTTTCTTCCAGTTTTAGCTAGATTAACACGAGTGTGAGTATGTCTACAGGAGCTGCCATTCACACCCCAGTCAATGGCTCCAGCTGATGGAGAATTCATGATTGGGACTCTGTCCCTGTGATTAATTTCCCTTACTGTTAAAAGTCGTGTCTGATTTCCACTTTCATGATTTCTGACTCCATCTTCCATTTGTTGGATTTTGTTATACCTTTGTCTGGTAGACTAAAGAGTCTTCCAGTAGCAGACCCTTCGGTATCTACCCCTGAATAGGAATGTATAGACCATGATCAAGAAGCCCCCTAACCTTCTAGTCAATAAACTATCATGAAAAATCTGTTCTGGATAGATTTCCAATTAATAGTACAGACCTAGAAGGCTGAGATTACTCGGATTAGGTTCAAATGAGCATCCAAACATTTCTTAGGTTTGTCCAAGTATTTGTAGACAAAATCAAATATGTTTTGTCAAATGGACATGTTTTTTTCATTTCGGTGAGATGTCTTGTTTTACAGTACTTGGCATTTTCTTCCCTCAGATATAAGCCAGGAGGCTCACAGCTTCCACAGCCCCCAAGTATCAGATCTACTACTAGGAGCTCCAAACCAGGGGAGTTCACTGTGTCTCAAAGCCAGCAGGTCTGGTACAACAAGGCAACGTGGTTGAATGAATAAGGCCCCAGACTGGGATTCAGGAACCTGCCTTCATTTCCCAGCTCTGACTGGCTACATGACCTTGGGCAAGCCACGTACCCACTCTGTGCCTCAGTTTCCCATTTGTTGTAAACGAATGCTGCTCACCCACTTTTATGAAGCACTTCAAGAGCTATGGATTATGGCTCCCATTCGTCAAGTTCAGTATGTGTCTAATTTTAAGCAAATTACTAATTCCATTGACTTCAGTGATTGGCTCCATTGAGTCTTCTCGTGTCCTTAAAGAACAAACCGAATTGTGGTCTAAAAGCACTAAATATTGTTCTCATGGTGGCTGTGGCGGCAACTGGCTCAGAGGGGCACAAATTTGTCCTGTGTTTCCTACTGGTCTGCACACCCCTCTGAGGTGTACTTGGGTCGAGCTAAACCCACCTAGCTGTTCTAATTACAGAGCATCCTAGCCCCAAGCCCCCGATCGCAACACCTCAAAATGTATAAACTCAGGAGCAGGATCCGAATCAGAATCCCCCTCTTTAAAATAGGCTGAACCAAAACAAAAGACTTATCCTCATTATTCTGGAATAATATTTCTCTCCCATTCAAGCAACCAGTCTAGCTTCCTTCCTCTGCTGCTCATCAATTAATTCAACAGGGAAAACAGCTGACACAGGTTTCCTGAGCGTTTTTCTTTTAAAGCAATCCCAAAACATCCTCTATTTTTCAGCTGCGTTTTGACAAGTCAATTTCTAAAGCACAAAAGGTGCTTCACCCGCAACCTGTTTTTATAGCTCCCTCATCGCAGCCAACTTTACCCCCCACTACACTTAAATTTTATTGCTAACCAATATAATTATCACCACTGTCATCATCATTCAAGATTTTGCTAGGAAATGCATTGTTAACAGACTATATTATGACACTACATTTCTGTGTGAGCAATGGCACAATGAATAGAACCACCTCTCAGAATTATGTCTCCTGGGTGGGTAGTTACATTTTTGAAAAAAAATCACAAAACTGCAATATGGTAGCCTGATCTTTATCAGCACAACACTGAACAAAAACACACTAAAAAAACCACCCTAAGTTATAACGATGTCAAATACCATAAATACTGTCGGCAAAAGAGATGAGCCCATTAGAGTAAAAAATCAGGGCCATGAATATGAGACTTCTCTTATTTAAAAATGTGCTTGTTTTACTGTTACCCATCAACACACACAGACACACACACACACCAGCTACATCATCCATCCACCTGCTACATAATGTTACAAATGAGATAAGATCAGATGTTTTTCAAAAAGGTATGCTCTAGGCATAGGCACTAGAACTAGCAATACCACAACCTCGGGCTTGAAGTGGTTTCCATTATATACAGGGTTCACAATTTGGTTCAAGGGCCAGCACTCCCACTATATAAATTGTTCCGGCAGCCTTGGTGCTAGGAATTATTTTGGGGACATTCTCTGGCTTGTGTTATACAGGAGGTCAGACTAGATGATCACCATGGTCATTTCTGGCCTTCGAATTTAGGAGACTTGATCCTTCAAGCTCCTTCCCGTGGCCAGATACCTACATTCATACACTGCCCTGTGGATTTCAGTGGGGTCCCTGCAGGGCCGGCTCCAGGGTTTTGGCCGCCCCAAGCAGCCAAAAAAAAAAAAAGGCCGCGATCGCGATCTGCGGTGGCAATTCGGCGGGAGGTCCTAGGCGGAGTGAGTAGGGTGACCAGATAGCAAATGTGAAAAATCGGGACAGGGGTGGGGGGTAATAGGAGCCTATATAAGAAAAAGACCCAAAAATCGGGACTGTCCCTATAAAATCGGGACATCTGGTCACCCTAGGAGTGAGGAACCTGCCGCCGAATTGCCGCCGAATACCTGGACGTGCCGCCCCTCTCTGGAGCGGCTGCCCCAAGCACCTGCTTGACAAGGTGATGCCTGGAGCTGGCCCTGGGTCCCTGGCACAGAATGCCTTGCAGAATTGGGCTATTAGATGGTAATTTTTGTGAGGCAGGAATTGTCTTTTCCCCCACTTATAACAATCAGCCCCTGGTCTCTTACTGGGGTCTTTAGACATTATAAGAATATATATAATAATAATGGGTGGTGCTGAGTGTTGGCCTAACTCCGCTCCCATTGGGAGTTTGGCCATTGAAGTCAATGGGAGCAGAATTAGACCAATACTAGGTGCTTTTGAAAATCCCTCATAGGTGCTGGAGCTGTGGGTGCAGCAGCTTGAAGTGGTTTATATTATATCCAGGGTTTATAGTTTGGTTCAATGGCTTTCAGCACCCCCACTATACAAATTGTTCCAACACCCCCAAAATCCCACCCAGTAACAACAACAACAAGTATTTGCACGATCCAACTCTTTATTCAGAATATGTGTCGTTTCTTTGGGGGAACCTTAATGAATTCAGTGTGTTTTCAGCGGCTCTCTCTCTCTTTTTTTTTTTAGAGTAAATTAGCCTATGAGAAAAGTTCACTTGAAATGAATCCTATTTTTATTCATGTTGATATTCACAATGTGGCAAGTGTGTCACATTTTATTTGACCTGTTTTCAAAGAGGGCAATCAAAACCTCTGCTTCCTTTCGGGTTATCAACCCAACGCTATTGTTATCAGACGATTGCCCCCATTGTCATGGCCAGAGCGGGCTGGAGCCTTAGTTTAATTTAGCGATACATGATCATAAATACATCAGCAGACTCCATTAGAAAGAGACATGCCGAAAACAGCCTTTTTCTCCTTTGTGTTTTGCATTTATGCATCTGACTCAATGGCAGCTGTCTAATTGAAAAGCCGGGGCAGGGGATTGAGATCATATAAGTTGTTCCGAAGGACATTCCGTGCATGTCGATGAATAACGGAGTGCCTGGAGGGGCCCGACTAGCTCTGAACAGGGACAGTGTTCTCCCACATCACACACAGGCTAATGCATGTCAACATTCACAGCTTCCTCGCCGCACAAGGTCACGTCTGCAGCATGCAGTGGCATTGTGAAGAGGGCCGTGTGAGCAATGTGAGTGCACAGGACTGCAGTGGATGGTTGATTCTGGTATTTCAGTGGGCAAGGATGGTGTAGGGCAGGGGTCGACCGCAGACCCTGGGCCAAATCTGGACCCCCCCAGACATTTTTGAATGGACCATGACATCTTTTTATTTATTTCTTATTATCACTATTGTGGTTGCTCTATTGTTATGTTCTCTGGAGCCTATCCTTGATTATACCTTGACCAAGAAATTTGGACCTTGACAAAAAATAATTGACTAGGGGCGGCACTGGTGTGGGGGAGAAGGGTCCGGGGGGGGGAATGGGAGAGAAGACATATGTGTCTCGTTTGTTCCCTTGCTGCATTCAAAGAGCCAAATACTTCAGCCACCTAATACCTAGTGCAAACCCTGGGGAAGTCAATGGGATGGCAACAGGGGAGCAAATCTGTGCAAAATATGGCCCTATAGTCTAATATTTTTCAGATGTTCTGTTTTAGGGGCCTGATCCACAACCCATTGCAGTCAGTGGACAGACTCTCAAGGAGTCAATCCTTAGGGACTTTCCTGACCTGGTAGGGAGATGGACCCAGCTGATCCTTTTGCACCCGGGTCTTCAAAATGATCTGCTCATTTATCCAGGAGGAAAAGAGAAAGATAGACGCCAAGTGACTGGCTGAAGGCTATTAAGCTGTGACAGATGCCATGGTGATGAATTGGGCTGGGGGGGGGGGGTATGTGTGTGAAAGAAGGATCTCCTGGAAACAGACACAGCATCATGAAGGAGAGAGGGGGAACCAAGCCTCCCTTCAGATCCCTGCACAACTGAGCGACCCACCGGACTTGGGCTGGAGATGCAAAGACCAGAGGCCGCTGCTCTCTCTGTATCAGCAGGGTGAGTTTTGCCTAGTGACCCAGAGGGCTGGGGAGAGCAGGGCTTGGAGAAGGGAGGAGAAATTCCCCTGGGGAGGGCTCGGAGAGAGGGGGGATTTACTCTGAACAGCCCGCAAGCCCCAGAAGGCAACCAGAGACAGGGAGGCATTTCTGAAGCAGCAGGCGGAGGACACCCACCCGCCGTGGGGATCCCAGAAGCAGCCGCCAGACCAGCCAACCCCTCTCCCCCACCCCCAGATCTTTAAAAGCAGGGTGCGGGGAGGGGTTAAAGACAAGGCAGCAAAGGGAGCGCAGGTAAGCGCCTCTCCTTCACCCATTCCTCTACACCCCCCCATGCCTGCCACTAAAGGGCGTGGAGCGAGCCCCCCCTTACTAGGGAAGGAGCCGGGCTTTTCAGATCCCAGCCCGGGGGGTTTTCTCTCTGCTCCTCGGATAACTTTGCCGCCAGCTGCGGCCGCGCAAGGCGGCACCTGTAACTTCCTCCCCTTCGCACGAAGCACCCGGAGCCTGGGAGAATCCAGCTGCTCGCTGGGGGGAAGCGGGCATTGGGATTTCAGCCCCCGCCCCCCTTTGGCTGACTATCCCTCCCCCTGGGGTTTCCCAGCCCCCAAGCCCCTGTGAGGGACCCAGGCGACGAGCGCTTTGCAGCGACCTCCCGTTCACACGGGACTTTTCCCAAGCGGATCCTGGCACAGCTCATGGTCTTGTTCTTGTTTTTTGTTTTGCAGCGTGTTGTCCGCCTCCATCCCCGCCGCTCCAGCAGGTAGGTAGCTGCTCCCCCTGGCCTGCCCCCTAGCTGCATGGATTGCCGTAGGGCTGGAGGGGGCTGGGCTACCAGCTGCTGCCCTTTCACACCCGCTTTAAAGCCCGTCAAAAGAGGTGGGGGGGAGAGAGGCGAAGATCTGATCCCCGTTTAGCTGGCTTCGGAGGGAGAAGAGTCGACTCGGAGCTGTAGCCCGGGGATGTGTGGCATCCGCTTGGGCTCCTTTGAGCTGGAGAATCAGCTGGGAAGCGGGGGCAGTTTATTTCATACCTTGATCTTACAAAGAAGAACCCACGGACATGCAGGTAACCCTGCCCCCTTTGTTTTCCCATTTGCCAAAGGAAGAGAGGCATGTAGAGATATGTGTAGGGCTGGGGTTTGTGGCATTGGCTAGTGTCAGTCCTGGGGCACAAGGAGTGGGCATTGGAATGATCTTTCTTCTTTTGCTGTCCCTTTTCATCTCCAGTTTGTCATAAAGGAATCCTGCCTTTGTCTCCTAAAAGAATTAGGCACCTATTCCATCTGAGCTGGGCATCTAACTCCCTTAGGCTCCTTTGAAATCCTAGCAGATTAATGGCCAAATTTGCATAGACTTTCCCTCTGCTTCTTGCAACCTATTAGTAAGAGAAAAGACTTTAATAACTGATCAGGGAGGGGGTGGCAAAGTGCATCTGAACTGATTTTGCCTGAGGGGTAAAGTAAATAGGAGGCTAAGATCAGAGTGGTGTCAAGTTTGTATTAATAATGCAAATATTTGAACCAAACATAGTCCGGAGTTCCCATTTCCTTAAAACTTTCCTTCTTAGGGAAGATTGGAAATAACGGAGGAATTGTTTGCAAAGCCAGGTGAAAAGGGCCTTCTTGGTGAAGGACAAATACAATGTTGCTTCTCTTTTTTTTTCCAAGGGGGATTTATGCATCTGTCTCTTTGTGGGGTCCTTGACCAGGGCTGTGTTGGTCGTTTTTATGGGACGTTTATATTAAAGGCATGGAAGTTCAAGCAGACAATGTAACTAGAGTTCTCGAGTCCCCACTAAAGCTACTGATCAAACCTACTGAGAATGTACGTGCTTAAAATAGTTAGAAAGTTTATCTTTCCTAAAGGACAATGTGTGGTGTGTGTGTTCGTGTGTGATAAACAGCTATGAATGGCCAAATGTTGCTCTTAAATACAGCAGTGACTGCAGGGGAGTTACGTCAAGGAATCTGAGCCTACCTGGACATGCACATTACATATGTGTTCATGCCCATGTACATATAAATGCATACATGCATATATAATACAATGACAAGTGACCCATGCAGTCCTAAGCAATCATTTTGCATACAGCAAAAAATGGAGTGTTTGCCTAATAGAGGTTAGTTTTTAAAGGCAGCACAGAGTTGTTTAGGGATGCTTTAAAGTGATCACTTAGAGGTAGGGAGAGTTGCCTGTAGAAGTGGTTGTTGAAGATGTGTATGTAGATCTTGTCATAGCAGACAAGCTCCACGTTGTTTGATCTTTGTAATGAGCAATGACCTGGAAAGGTTATAGCAACAGGAGCTGTACAAGTGGCGCATAATGCTAGAGTCACCAGTAGATAGGCAGGGATTGCATGAAGTGCATTTGTTTAGTGGGAAACAAATGCACAGAATTTTGTTTAGTTAGGGTTACAATCCAGCCTGAAAATATTTACTCTTTGTATGTGAGATCTAGTCAAATATTATTAATACAGTGTCCACAAGTATATGTGTGAATGCCAAACCATCACTGCTCATTCTAATGAGATTGTACCATTTAACACCTTTTCATGGAGATTTGCATGAAAGCACTTTCATTTGCATGAATTAGAGAATCACTGAATCATAGAAAAGTAGGGCTGCTGGAATGACTCTCACATGAACAAGTGTATTTGTGTACAAAGAAAAGGATTCACTGTTCATTAATCACTATTCACTATTCTCCTGTTTAAAACATTTTAGACAACTAGTCAGGGAGCAGAAATAATGTCATGTGACTTACGTGGCCACTCACACACCATGAACCATTAGTCAAAAGGAATAATTTATGAACATACCAAAGTCTGAAAAATTTTGTATGAATTATTCCACAAAGACTTGCAAATTGCAAATATACTTTTATGAACATTTTATAAACGGAAAAGGGCACAGTTCATGGGATCATTTATCACCATGAATTATTTGTCCTGCTTTAATATGTATATAAAATAAATAATGGCTGGGCATGAGGGTAATAACAGTAAAATTATCAGCAGAAAAATATAATTCCTAAAAATTTGATACATTACCCAAAGCCAAAATGGTAACATATTCAATATTTGCCCTCAGAGTCAGTCAGTATTTGTGTTATCAACAGATCAGGTGAAAAAAAGCTCTATTTTTTTTTAAGAAGAAGAAGCAGAAGAAAAGGCTTTATTTTGTGAAAAATGTAGAATGGAACAATTTTTGTTTCATTAAAATTTTTCACAATTTTTTCATTTTTTAAAAATTTTGTCGACAGGTTTTGCAAATGTTGGTTTCATTTCTGCTGAGGAAAAAATATTTCTCTTGTTTTTTAAAATGTATTTTTCCAATGGGAAAAAAGGGACGTTTTAAAAAGTGAGAAAAAATTACTCTCATTTTTCCCCAACTTTTCCATCCCTTTTTCCATGGGGGAAAGGGGGAAGAAGCAAAAACTGTGAAAGTTGAAATTTAAAAAATTAAAATTCACTAAAAATAATTTCGATTGAAAATTGAAAAATTTCCACAAAAATGGAAATTTCCATTTAGTAAAAAAAAAAAAGAAGGTTTTATTGCAAAACCTTTGACCAGCTCTGTTTATTAAGAGAGAGACAAGGTAGGGGAGGTATCGTCTTTTATTGGACCAACTCTGGCAGAATGTGCAAGCTTTCGAGCTCCTCAGGTCCGGGAAGGAAGCAGAGTGTCTGAGTTAAATACAAGGTAGGACAGATTGTTAAGCAGAAGGGGTAACATGTGGGAGGTCACTGTGGGAGACTGGGGGTTAGATTGTTATGCATAAAGAGTTTGAAGGTTGCTGGTGGTGCTAAGGGCTTGTCTACACTTAAAATGCTACAGTGTAGATTCTACCTACGCCAACAGAAGGGTTCACCCATTGCCCTAGGTAATCCACCTCCCAGGAGGCAGTAGCTAACTCTGCTGGCTATTCTGGGACTTAGATCAGTGTAGCTATGTCTCTCAGGGGTTTTTCACATTCCTGAGAGACATAGTTATACAGATGTAAAATCAGCCAGCTAAAAACAAGCAACGTTGGGCTTGAAATGTTAAAAGCTCGGTGATTTTTTTGGGCAGGTCGTGGCCTTCGGGTTTTTTCCTCTTAATTAATGGGCCACTTTGGGGGGGGCTTTTTTTTCTTTGGGGATGCGGGCAGCATGGCTTACCCTCTCATTCAGCGTGATGTTGTTTACTAAGCCCTCTCCCTGGCAGGGTAGTTGTAATGAACCAGTGTCCCTGTTAAGTCCCTGGCTTTTGGTGTCTAGCAGAATTACACATTCATTATATTGTTTTACCTCCCTGCCTACCTCAACACACACTCCTCCTAAGGCCAGATCCTTGGTACTATGTATTGGCACAGTTCCTTTGACTTCAATGGAGCCGGCTGAGGGTCCGCTCCTCCATTTCAAGCCCCGCCTCTTGCTTCACCTGTTAAATGAAGAGCTGGGTTTCCCTCTCTGCAGTCTTTGGTGGAGATGTAGTGTCCTCACCTGCCTCCCCATTCTCTAGTATTTGAGGAAGGGGGCAGTATCCTTGCTTCACAAAAGAAGCAGTCTTAGGAGGTAGTAGTGTAGCCATTTTTCTCCCGCTCAAAACCTGTAGCTCCACTGGCACATTGTAGGAAACTTTGAGAAACAATCAAAATCGAGGTACAATTCTACTGATGTGTCCTGGCTATTTGCCCACGTGGTTTTTCTATTGCTACTACCATCATTTGCTTTAAAACAGGATCTATCTGGCAGGTTCGTATTTCATCTGCTCCTGCTGCTTATTCTTCACTGCAAAGCCATAATCTAACTTTGTTATCTTAATACTCTTCACACCAAGTAAATTTCATGCTGTACAGAGAAGATTATGCTTCCAGTTGGCAAATAAGCCGTAAGAGTCAATGAAATCCTCACCCACAAAGATTCTGGTTTTTATGCGACTTCTTCCTGATCTCTGTTGGTGACAAGTTTATGTCCTGAAGTATTAGGCTTGTTAAGCCTTAGCTTTGTTATTGTAACTATGGTCCTGTATATAGCACAATTTGGAGCAAGTACACCGAATTGCAAGCCTCATTTATGAATGAAGTTACCAACACTGCAAATTCAAACTGCGCCATTGAATTTGCAAATGCCAATTATGTGTCTGAATGACCATGTGCATGCACAAATATTGGATTTCATGCATGCAATTAAGGTAATTACACGTCCAGATTATGCACACAATTGGACATGTAAAGTTTGGAGAATCGAGCCCTAGCTTATTAAAATTGACAGAATTTTTAAAATCCTATTTACTGCTCTTCTCTTTAAGCTGTTTATTTACCTTCTACATTTCTTTCAGCTTGGAGTATGAAAAGCAATAAAACCAGTTTTGCCTTGCTTATACAGGTCTGTCGCATCTTACGCGCATTTAATATGCACGAATTCAGCTTTACGCGGTCGGCAAAAACAAAAACAAAACAAAACAAAAGAGAAAAACAACAATTTAAATACTGTTCCTGTAGTGCAGGCAATTCCGCCCGCCATTACACTCAATGTAATTTTGACTATACGCGGTTTTCGCTTTATGTGCTGACCACAGAACATAACCCCAGCGTAAGATGAGACAGACCTGTAGTCATTTTCATCCTCAGGTCCTCAGGGAAGCAATGGTTGGGTTTCAAATATATATAACAACCCCACATATATCATCTCAGAGGTTGAAACCGAGATCTTCAGCACTGAAACCATATGAGTATAATGGTGCAGCTCCAGGTGTAACTCCATTATCTGGCAGCAGTAGTAGGTTCTTAGTAATGGAAACATGTCTCTAAATCTGAAATGGGGGTTGTACCCACCTATGATCTGAGAAAAAAGAACAGGAGTACTTGTGGCACCTTAGAGACTAACAAATTTATTAGAGCATAAGCTTTCGTGGACTACAGCCCACTTCTTCGGAAGAGGCGCTGTCAATGAG